TTTTTTTTTTTTTTTTACTGTGTACTTTCTGTTGTCTACTAAGTCATTCTTTAATTTTCTCCTCTTGCTGGTGAACACGTGGATTGTATTTTGGGGGGCTCTCATAAATAAAGCTGCTGTGAACATTCTTTTGATGAGCCCATGTCCTCATTTCTCTCTTGGATACAGATTTAGGAGTGGGATGGCTGAATCATAGCGTGCAAATATTCACCTCTAACAGATACTGCCAGCTTTACAAAGCGGCTTATCGGTACACACTCCCGCAAGCAGGCAAGCAGAGCATGAGAGTCCCCGTTGCTTCACAACCTCACCAACACTTGGTTTTGTTTTGTTTTGTTTTGTTTTGTTTTCTTTCACACCATTCTGGGGTGTGTATTGTTAATACCCTGAAATCTAAACAATGCAAAAATGGAAATGTTTTTTTTTTTAATTGTGCAAATATTTAAACACCTATCCTTCAGTAAATGACCCCAAAGCCAGTAGAGTGGGATGGAGCTGGCCCTTTGGGCTCTCAAGCCAGAGTGGGTGGCAGGGACTGCCTGCTCCAGGCCTCCGTTGATCTGAGGGCTTTCCCATACTGCTCTCTCCAGAGGTCAGATCTATTCGGGATGGCTCCGGGCATCTGCCTGGCTCCAGTCTTCTAGCACTGTCCCTCTTCAGGAACGTTCTTTCGAGAAGACTTACGGCGGTTGAGAAAATTTATTTGCAGTGTCTCTCACTGACCCTGACTGTAATTTACTTGGGCCAGAGCTGTGAGCTCATTTAGGGGCTCCCCCTCTTAGATTTCAGTTCCTTTTAACACGTTTGTTTTCCTGGTTTCGTGACAGGGAAGAAAGCAGAAAAAGAGTTTCTGCTTTCTTTCTGTCTCCATAAGCAGTGTTCTTCTGGCCTCCAGGAAAGTTTCTTTATTCCCTTTGAACACATCTGTGTGAGATCATATATGGAGTGCCCGGTATGGAGCACATGTTACATGTTCAGATTGTTTCTATGTCCTCCTTCTACTTCCCCCATATATGTGTATATGCACATATACATACATATGTATACACGTACATATATACACACACATACGTATACACACAGACATCTCTATAACTGAGATATGTATTTTTAAGCTATTTTTTGTTGTCCTTGAATTTTCTGCGCATTGCCCCATCTTGCCTTTTGTGCATCTCACAGTTCTTTTTTTTATCATCTCCCTCCCCCCCTTTTTAAAAAATTTTTTTAATTTTTTTTAATTTTAATTTTTTAATTGTTTAATTTTTTAAATTTAATTTTTTAATTTTTTTTAAATTTTTTTATTTTTTTAAATTAAAAAAAATTTTTTTTTAATTTTAATTTTTTTAATTTAATTTTAATTTAAAACCCAGGAAGGCAGGGTTTTTTGTTTTTGTTTTTCAGAGAGAGTGAGCAGGGGAGGGACACAGAGAGAGAACAGAGGATCCAAAGCAGGCTTTACAGTAGAGAGCCTGATGCAGGGCTCGAACTCCTAAACTGTGAGATCATGACCTGAGCCAAAGTCAGGTGCTCAACCGACTGAGCCACCCAGGTGCCCCCAGGAAAGGAGGTTTTTAAAAAAATCATTATTTGAAGTGTGACACGATGGGTCATATTCACCCATCATCTTATACTATTCTTTGAAACAGTAATGGAAGGTCGTACTCTGTCCTGTAAACGATAGACACAGGTTTGTCTAGCTTTGCAGGTTTCCACCTCCCAGTGGGATACTCCTGAAAGTGCCATCACGGCATCTTAACCACAGGGCAGGTGCTTTTGCACTGTGTTTTCTTGGTCTATAGCACTCCCTACTGATGATACATGTTTTCATCCTCTGTCAGCTCAAGAGGGCCAGCAGTGAGGACATGCTCAACAAACCAGGAAGTACGGCCGCTTCTGGGGTAGTTCGACTGAAAAAGACTTCGACAGCTGGAGCCATCTCTGAACTTGCTGAGAGCCGCCTGAGGAGCAACCCAGGTAGGAAGGACCCAGGTCGGAGAGCCCAGGGCAGGAGGGCCCCAGGCAGGAGGGACTCAGGTGGGAGTGCCCCGGGCTGGAGGGACTCAGGTGAGAGGGATCCAGATAGGAAGGCCCCAGGCAGGAAGAACCCAGGCGGGAAGGACCCACGCAGGAGAGCCTCAGGTGAAAAGGACTCAGGTGGGAAGGACCCAGGCAGGAGGGACCTGGGGAAAAGGGACCTAAGCAGGCCATTCATCTTGGTGTTTTGAAAAACATTCAATGATTCCTGTGTCCCTCCCCTCATCAGAGATGTTTTGCTGGCCCTTACTCTGGGCCAGGAAGGGGTTTAGGCAACGACATCCCTGCCCACAGCGAGTTTACATCTAGTGAGGAGACTGAGAAGAAACAAAAAGGTAGGGAGGAGTGCTGTGGTTCCTTCTGTCCGTCTCGCTGTCCATCTGTCACCGTGTGTGTGTGAAATTCCTCCGAGGCATTTCTGGCAAGCTAGCGTCAGTTCTGGGGTCGTCTTGGTATGAGGCGCATATTCGATGAGTGAATGAACGCTGTAGGCCTCTCACGGGCCTGGGTGGACGGCATCCTTCCTGGACCCTGTGGAAGTCTGGGAAAATCCTCCCATAAAGGCTGCTCTGAGTTACTTAGGTGGCAGTGGCCACTGGGACCTGGGGAACTTTCTCAGGTTTCCTAGTTTTCTGAGAATCAGAAAAGGGTTTTTTAACCATTATATGTGAGTTCAGAGCTTGAAAAGCATAAAATGCCAGGAATGTATTTGATTTTATTTTGGTAAGAAAGCTAAGATTTCCATGGTCCCACCGTTCTAGTGCAGATCTCCCTGTATTGCTAAATTGTCTGAGATGGGAAAATAGCTGAATTATGTCATTAGTACTTTATAATGGAGGTTGAATAGTAGTATACTTACGATTTTTTGTGTCTGCATAAAATACCACAACCCAGATTAGCTCTCCAAAGGTGTATTTTAATGTACTTGGTTTTCACAAAGTTGAATCTATGAAGAGTATATGTGGCCTTTTTTTTTTTTTTGATGTAAGGGCGTCATGTTTCTATACAATGGTTTTACTATTTTAAAGACTACTTTCATACTAAATACACACATTTGGTTTTAAAAATACAGCAAATGAAAGTACAACTTCTTTCTATCACGCCGGCCTAAACACGAGTTTCAAAAGTTGACAAAGCACCATTTAAAAAAAAAATGACAAAAAGATCTCACTCTGAAATATTGATGTAAAAGTGTGAGATCCAGGGACGCCTGGGTGGCTCAGTCAGTAGTAAGCCAGTAAGTCAGTGACTCTGGATTTCGGCTCAGGTCATGACCTCACGGTTCATGAGTTCGAGCCCCGCATTGGGCTCCTCGCTGACAGTGTGGGGCGTGCTTGGGATTCTCTCTCTCCCCCTCTCTCTGCCCCTCCCCCCACTCAAAGTAAATAAACTTAAAAAAAATGTGGGATCGGAATATTAGCAAATAGAATTCAAGAAGAAATTAAGAGAATAATAGTATACATCGCAACGAAGTGGATTTATGCCAAGAAAGCCTTAATGTTTGGAAATTTAGTAATATAATCTATTGTACAATGTTGATAGACCAAGGAAGGAGAACCATTGGTCATCTCGGTAGAGGTGGAAGACACATTTGGCAAAATTAGCAATCTTTCCGTTTTTAAAAACAAACTTTCGGTTTGCTATAAATGTATGGATACTTGTCTAGTGGTATGATGTATATGTATCTCAAACCAAAGCTAGAACTGTCCTCAATGGTGGAATCCTGGAAGTCTTCCCATTAAAATCAAGAATGATTCAAGATTGCCCATCACTGGGGGCGTCTGGGTGGCTCAGTTGGTTAAGCGTCCAACTCTTCATTTTGGCTCAGGTCATGATCTCACGGTTTGTGCGTTTAAACGCCGCGTTGGGCTCTGGGCTGACAGCACGGAGCCTGATTGCGATTCTGCCTGTCTCTCTCTCTGCCCCTCCCCTGCTTGCTCTCTATCTATCTCTCAAAAGTAAATAAAAATAAACCACAGCAACAAAAAAAGATTGCCCATCATTATCCCTGTCAACTAAGTTTTTCTGCAAGTATTAACCAGGGCAGTGAGACAGAGGAACAATAGCTACATAAATATTAGAAATGAGGAAACAAAATGATGATTTTATGCAGAGGATAACATCATATGCTTAGAAAAATGCTTAGAATTTCCTGAACATTTGGGGCGCCTGGATGGCTCAGTCAGATGAGCATCCAACTTTGGCTCAGGTCATGATCTCATGGTTCATGAGTTCGAGCCCCTCATCGGGCTCTGTTCTGACAGCTCAGAGCCTGGAGCCTGCTTCGGATTCTTTGTCTCCCTCTCTCTCTGCCACTCCCCCGCTCATGCTCTGTCTCTCTCTCTCTCTCTCTCTCTCTCTCTGTCAAAAATAAACATTAAAAAAAATTTAAAAAAAAAAGAATTTGCCGAACATTTTATCATTAGAAAAAACTTAGAATGCCCTGCAATCTATTAGATACAATAAGAGTTTAGTGTGTGGTTGTAGAATACAAAATATAAGTCACTTTCCTATCAGTGACTGGTTGGAAAAGATAAATAACATAAGAAATGATCCCATTTATAAAGGAATGTAAAAGGTAAAATATATATAGGAATAAACTTAATATTATAAGAGACCATATATATATTTTTTGAGGGGGGGTGCAAGTGAGCAAGGGACAGAGAGAGAGAGGTATGGAGAGAGAGAGACAGAGAGAGAGAAAGCGGGGCTCACCCGGGGCTCATGTTTTACCCGAAGTGGGGCTTGAGCTTACCTGATGCAGGGCTCGAACTCGCAAACTGTGAGATCATGACCTGAGCCGAAGTCAGATGCTTAATGACTGAGCCACCCAGGTGCCCAAGAGACTGTATTTTTAAAAAAATAATCTTAAAACTCTTTTGAAGGACATAAAAGGAGAAATAAATAAGTAGAAGGATATATATACATGGTTCCTGAATAGGAAGGTTAAATATAATAAATATTTAATAAGTATAATATCTTAAATATAATAACATTGTCTAAATTACTTTATGAATCTCTTTTCATCCCAATGAAGGTATCCGCGGAAATTGGGAGTGCAAACACTGGGAAAATGATACTGGGTTTATCTAAAACAGTAGTTCCCAATGGGTGGCCCTCTTGCCCACCACCCTAACCCAAGGAACAATTGGCAATGTCTTCAGACATTTTTGATTTTCATAATTAGGGGGGTGCTACTGACACCTAGTGGGTGGAGGTCAGGGTGGCTGCTAAACGCATAAGACAGCCCCCACAATAAAGAATTATCCAGCCCAAAACGTTAATAGTACCTCTGTGGATAGGTCCTGATCTAGAAGACTAAATATTCATCAATAATCAGAAAATTTCTAAAACAACAGTAACCAAGGGACTAAGTTTAAGCATCTTGGAACTGGAGAACCAATAGGCAGTTCAATGGATGATGGAGAAAGTCCAGATTGCACTGGACTAGTATATATATAGGATAGTATAGGACAAAGTAGCATCTTATATCAAGACTGATAATTCATTCGTAAGTAACGACTGATTGATGGGGCGCCTGGGTGGCTCAGTCGGGTAAGCGGCCGACTCTTGATGGCGGGTCAGGTCATGATCTCGGTTCGTGAGATCGAGCCCCACATTGGGCTCTGCACTGACAGTGCTAAGCCTGCTTGGGAT